AGGACTCAATAAAACAAAAGCATCTTGTCCATCACTATTTGTTTGAAGCTTAATGTCTTTGTGAAATCTCCATATCTTTGAGAAACCTAAAGATTTGCTCTTCTTGCATCTGAAATTCGAAGCATCCATTTCAACCATTGTAACTTTTGGTGAAGCCTCGTTGCATGATCCTTTCAATATATCTGTTGATTGAAAGGAAAAGCTATTGGGTTTCTTATCAACAAAAAGCTTCTTTAATGGTAGTTGAAGAGGCAAGTTGTTGTATTCATATGTGGTGGCAAGTACAATGGATTGATCAAAAGTAGCGAACGATTGTCGGATCTTTCCATTGTCAAAAATTTCATCAGCAAATAATATAGGTGTTTCTTGGAGTTCACTGCATGTAAAATTAAATTCTAGTTCTTCAACATTTTCTTCGCTGTCAAAATATATTTTGTTTTCAGCCATGAATTCTGAGTCTTGTCTTAAAGGAATGCAAGTAGAGTCATTAGATTTGGGAAATGAATTAGGCATTTGTATCATGGACAATGCTTGCACTGTCAATTTCTTAACAGCCTCGTTCTGCATGTTGTTCTCAATTTTTGAGTGTGTGAATGGGAAACAAGGTGAAACTAATAATGGAAGTGATAATGAATTTAGAGATGAAAGATATTTATACATGCGTTATAATGTTAGGTTCATTTAACAATTTTTAGGAGGTGGTTGGATAGGGAAGGTGTGGAGAGCCAACATAACTATTGGCAAGTTATCCCTTAAACTAGTTAGATAACATTTTTGTGTCGTTTATTTTATTCACTAATAATAGATTTTGGTTTGTTATATATTATTTTCCTATTTTACTCACTTTGCAATTGCTTCGCATCTTAGTAACCTAAACTTACAATAACAATCCAACTAAAAGTGCAACTTCCTTTCTTAACTTATGGGTTGCTTCTCATTAAAGATGTGAATTGAAACTTTTTTTGATCTTAAACTTTCACATTTGATTTTAAAATAAAAGATACACTTTACTAAAAATATTTAGGTAGGTTTCCACTAATAACAAAATTTAAAAGTTTATGTAAAATAAGATCATATATAGTTTTTAGTGTTTTAAAATATGTTTGTAAATATAAATTTGAGAATTTTTATATAAATTATCTATAAATATAAGAAGTTTTTTAATTTATTATAAATTTAACTAAGAAACTTGAATTATATTTAAAAATAATTCATTCATTGTTTTTATGAACAATAAACTCCTTGTAAAAATAGTAGAAACACATGTATAACCCAACCCATTCACTTACCATCTCTTTTAGATATTACATTACCCCTAAATCCTACAAATCACTAATATATTTTTCTTATTAATTCTTGTTAGTCATGCATTCACACAACCCACTTCAATTACAATTTTTTTTTTATTAAATTAAATTATGGTTCATTCAGGCGAGCATAGGAGCAACATAGCTTACTCCCTAGAAGCATGAGCTTGTTATCTTCAAGCATAAACGTCTTTGTCATTATCACTCATTGTAGCATAGGCATGTACCACTCTAATCATGGCCATAGTCCACTTATCTGACACAAAACAAGCAGGCTCCCACCCAAGCACAATTATGATATGTCTTGCACAGGCTTGCATGAGTGCACTTCACTTAAGTAGATCGTGCTTATCAGTCCAAAGTTGCGAGATTGCTTCAGACTTAGCTGATTCGCATGTCATTTCCACCCCCTCTTCATCTATTTTGCATCACAACATAGAATCATTTAAAACTTAAACCAATCATTCCAAAATTCACATCATACTCTAATAATTCTCAGAATCAAACGAGTTACACCAAATCCCCAAATGCTGAAAACAACCCCTGACCCCCAATATACAACACAATATAATTCAACATCAAAAATCAAGAATTTCATCTACGCTCATACATCAACAATTAACTCTAAATAGTTTCAATTTCATAAAAATGAATATAATTATTAATCCTTCAAAGGCTCAAGGGTCACCTCACCTCACTACCCCCATACCTCTTATATTTGCCTGTAATGAGACACTCTCATTCACTTCCTTACCTCAACTTATGATCTCTAAGGCATAGGCACACACCTTCGTCGTCTCTAGAACTGCTCCACAGGCTCTAAGGGGTTTTCCTTTACAACATTTTAGCATTTAGAAGTTTGATGCAAAAAACTAATCAAACCCTCTTCCTTTTATTTTTAAAAAGGCTCTAGGTTGGGCTCAAGAGTCTAACCCAAAGACTCATCTCTATCCCACTGTTTATTCTCTTTTATTTTATTTATTAAATATCCTTTGCTTATATTATAAACCCAATTAAATAAATTAATTAAGCCCGTAATATAAATATTATTTAAATAATTTTATTTTATTTTTGATTTCAAAATCAGGATGTTACAACTCTCTCTCTCTTGATGAAATTTACCCTTAAATTTTATCTATAATGAACAAATTCGAATACACTTCTCTCATCTTGTTCTCCAGCTCCCAAGTAACACTCTCAAAAGTAGTTTCTTCCCATACAACCTTAACTAAAGAAATATCCTTGCCTATAAGTTGTTTAACCATTCGGTCTTCAACTCACATTGGTAAGGTCTCAACAGACAAGTTATCTTTAACCTTAAGATTGTTTGACTCAATCACTTGTGACGAATTATGGTCATATTTACGAAGTTATTACACATGAAAGACGATAATATGGAAATTTGACAAGTGTCAAGGTAAAGAAACTTTGTAAGTTACTTCATCAACTCTTTTTGGAATTTAGCACGAACTAATGAAACAAGGTGTAAGCTTTCTAGAATTGAATGCCCTACCAACCCTAGTCCACAAAGTAACTTTAAAGAACACATGATCTCCTTCTAGAAATTCTAAGCTCTTCTTCCTTTTACCTCAACTCTTCTACCTATTTTGGGTTTCTTTCATCCTATCCTGGATCATTTTAACAATTTTTCATGGTCTATTATACTACATCAGGTTCTCAAATAAGGTTATCTATAGTTCACACCACACTAAGGTGTCTTACATCTCCTCTCATACAAGGCTTCATAGGGTGTCATCCCAATACTAGAATGATAACTATTAATGTAGGTAAACTTTATCAAAGGCATAAAACTATATCACCTACTCCCTTATTTTAATACATAGGCTTTAAGAAAGTCCTCTAGGGATTAGATGGTTATCTCGGTCTGGCCATCGATTTGAGGATGATAGGTTGAACTTAACCTAAGCTTGGTTCCCAAGGCTTGGTGAAGACTCCTCCAAAATCTAAAGGTAGATATAAGACCCCTATCAAAAACATTGCTAGAAGGCACATTGTGCAATCAAACAATCTCACTAATGTAGAGATTAGCTAATCTCTCCAAGGAATACCTAATGTTGATTGGAGTAAAGTGAGCAAACTTAGTCAGTCTATCAACCATAACCTAAATGGAACCAAAACCCTTTGTAATCCTAGGCAACCCAATCACAAAGTCTATGAAAACACTACTCCAATTCCCCTCATGCACACTTAAAGGCTGTAACAAACTTGACGATTTTGGGTGCTCTATATTAGCTTTCAAGCATACTAAGCATGCACACATAAACTCAACTATGTTTTTTATCATATTAGGCCACCAAAACATCTTCCTAAGGTTCTGATACATCTTAGTGGCACCTGAATGAAGACTAAACTCACTCCTATGTTCTTCCTCTAGGATCAACTTCTTAAGCTCGGAGCCACTAGGCATAAAAACCTTAAACCTTAACACTTCATCAACTCTTATTTAAACTCACCATCTATTAACCTTTTGACCTTCTCTAATCTCAACCAACAAATAATTAGTTACTCTCAACATAATTAGTCTCACACTGCTAGGGGTAATCTCTCATGCTAAGCTCATATCCTTAAACTCTACAATCAAATTTGTCTCCCTAATCATCAAGGCTAACACATATAAGGATTTCATACTCAAGGCATCATCCATTATATTGGTTTTACCTAGGTGATAACTTGATCTAACATTTATCTTACTGAACACACAAGCTCCCACTAATTGGTCCATAAAGTTATTTATCCTAAAAAAGGATACGTGTTCTTAATCATCACTGTGACGTTCAAAATCATTACTAATATAATTAGATTTTTAACATTTAATTTATTTAAATATATTAATTTTGGCAAAATATAATCAATAATAAAATTTCTAAAAAAAACATGTATAAACACAATGGTATTTGAATTAGTGCATATTCAAACATGTAACTAGAATTATTTCAATTACATTTTCCAAAATATATTGATAGATTGAATCTTTATTGAAGAAATAAGCATAATTAAAGGAGTATGATAATTTAAAAGATATATAACTTTATATGCAAGAACCTAAGGTGAGTCATATCTTTGTACATATAATGTATGTTAATACATCCATAACTATTTTTTTCAAAAAGAATTAGAAGATGTAGCCGCCAACAAAATATAAGGTATAGACATTGATTACATCACTTGTATTAGCAAGTAGAGTATAGAAAATTTCCCACCCCAAATATACATCCAAAAAGGAAATAAACTATACTCAGAGTAGTCTACCCAAAATAAGAGGAAAATGGAAAACCTATGGAGACTAACCCTCCCCAAACAAACTATCATAGTGCTCCTGATCCTCTGAAGTCACATCGTCGGGGTCAGAAATCCCCTCATCAACATATACTTCAACACTAGTTTCTTGTTGAAAAGTTTGATGGGTAGGTTTTCCATAAGCATCATGATCAAAGAGCTCCTGAAGAAACCTCAATGCATTTTCAGGTCTCTCCATGCCATAGTAAACATAGTAGTATCATACATGATGAATCCTCATACCAGGTGTTCCCCCGAAAGGCATCATGAAAGTCACATTCACCTCTATAGTGATTTGAGGTTAGGACTGTTCTACTAAGGTTTACTAAGAACTTATAATAACTAAAATGTACATGATTTCTGGCTTTATAGGCTTCCTCATAGTTGTAATGAAACTCAATGAGATGAAGGGTCCTTTGGAGTGTCATCATCTCCTAAAATATGGGTTGTAAGGGTGAGTTTCCCCCACTCTTCAAACTCCACAAACATAATAACAAGCATATAGTAATACATCTTAAAATAAACCAATACACTATCACTCAACAATCTCTAATGGTTTTATAAAAAATTTACTTTCAAGTATTGTGAAAGGATCATCAACACATTAATCTATTAACTTGGGCCTAAATGCTTTCATCAAAACCTCTTTGTTCATGATGGTCTTACGCCACATGTGGATAATCACCGGTTGATCAACGCTCTAGATATATACAATGTCAAAGCATATAATCCCTTGGCTAAATGTACAATTTGCATTAACATTAGAAGTGGAACGTGAGGCCTATGATTTCTAACACATCAAATGTGTACACCAAATATGGGTCAGATTCACCATCTTCCAACTTCCCAAAGTCAAAAGACCTCTTTTCCTATAACCTAGTATATTTCTATAATTATCCACACATCCGCCTAACGTTTCCCTATACCATAACCCAAACTTTATTCCTTAATACATAATTCCCCATGCCATAATAATATTTAAACCAATTGAAAGAAAACAATACAAAACATTTCTAGCATACTAGTGCTCAAAAGAAACTAAAATACAAGAAAAGCCATACAAACAGACAGACGACATAACAGTTGTAAATAAAGTTGTCAAAATGGGTCAGTCTGACATGTTTGACCCGATCCACCTCAACCCACTTTTTAAATGGGTTGACCCAGCTCGACCCACCAAATTTGTTGCCCGAAATTTCTTATTCCAACTCGGGTCCACCACGGATTGGTGGGCTAAACAGGTTGGCCCATCAACCCACTTAATTTTGTATAAAAAAAATTCTAATTTAAAATAAACTCCAATATAAAATAATCTTTAATCTAAAGTAAAAATTATCAAAATAAGTATCATGCATACAATATTAAACTTCTATTAAAAAGTGTACAACTTTAAAAAATCAAAACAAAAAACAAAAATTCTTTCATGAGAGTGATTATTCATCAATATTAAATTTCATTGGAGGTTTAAGTAGATAAATTTATAACAATTTCATGTTGTTTAACATTGACTTTATCTATAAAAAATTATATCTTGTTAAAAAAATGATATATTGTTAAAATAGTTAAATGGGTAGGGTTGATAGGGGTGTAAGTGGGTTAGGTGGGCAACCCAGCCCACCACAGGCTCAACCCGGATGGGCCAAGTCAAAAGTGGGCTGGGTTATATTTTTTGACCCATTATGATTTTTTTTTATTTTTTTTGGCTTGACCTGGTCTATTTTCAAGGTGGACCGAGTTGGTCTATGGGCTGAAGCCCAAACCGCTTCAAACTTGGTTGATTCACACGTCATTTCCACTTTTTTTTTTCTCTATTTTGCATCATAACATAGAATCGTCCAACACTCAGACCAAGCATTCCAAACTCTTGTTAAAGGATGCAAAAATTAAAAATTACACAATTTAATTGTTGTGCAAGAATATACAAACTCTTTTTTCTCATCAAGATCAAAAAAATTTCCCAAATTATACTTACACATAACCTTCTTATTTTATTCATAGAATATTTACATGAAAAAGTTGCTTTATCATAATTAGATAAAATCCCATAAACTATTACAACAATATAGAATTGGGATATTAAAAGGGATTAACATTCCTAATAAATCTATTTTTATTGGTGAAAAACCCAATCAAGTTTGTACTATAAGGTAAGAATGATTTTTGTTTACTATTTTTCGTCCTCATTCTATTCATCACATAAACCTTCTCGTGAGGAGATAAAGTTGTTTTACATTTACCATCCTTTCCTTTATTTGGAAAATTATTTTTTTCCTTTGTATCTTGAAAGCTCATTGGTACTGACCCTGAAGGACTTAATAAAACAAAAGCGTCTTGTCCATCACTATTTGTTCGAAGCTTAATGTTTTCCCGAAATCTCCATGTCTTTGAAAAACCCGAAGATTTGCTCTTCTTGCATTTGTCATTCAAAGCATCCGCATCAACCATTGTAACTTTTGGTGAAGCCTCATTGCATGATCCTTCCAATATATCTTTTGAGTGAAAGGAAAAATCATTGGGTTGCTCAACAACAAAGAGTTTCTTCAGTGGTGGTTGAAGAGGCAAAGTGTTGTATTCAGATGTGGTGGTAAGAACAATGGATTGGTTGAAAGTAGCAAATGATGGTCGAATCTTGCCATTGTCAAAGATCTCATCAGCAAATATAAGTGTTTCTTGGAGATCACTACATGCAAAACTAAATTCTTGTTCTTCAACATTTTCTTTGCTGTCAAAATGCATTTTATTTCTAGCCATGGATTTTGAGTCTTTTCTTAAATGAACACAAGTAGAGTCAGTAGAGTTGGGAAATGAATTGGGCATTTGGATCACAGATAAAGCTTGCACTGTCAATTTCTTAACTCTTGAGGCCTTGTTGTGCATGTTGTTCTCGCTTTTTGAGTGTGTGAAATGAGAAACAAGGTGAAACCAATAATGAGAGTGATAATGAATTTAGAAATGAAAGTTATTTATACATGTGTTATAATGTTAAGTTTGTTTAAGGATTTTAGGAGGTGGTTGGATAGGGAAGGTGTGGAGGGCCAACGTAACTATTGGTGGGTTATCCCTTAAACTAGTTAGATAACATTTTTGTATCGTTTATTTTATTCACTAATAATAGAATATGGTTTGTTATATATTATTTTCTTGTTTTACTCACTTTGCAATTGCTTCGCATCTTAGTAACCTAAACTTACAATAACAACCCAACTAAAATTGCAACTTCCTATGTTAATTTATCGGTTGCTTCTCATTAAAGACATGAGTTGAAACTATTTTTGATCATAAACTTTCACAATTGATTTTAAAAGATACACTTTACTGAAAATATTTGGGAAGGTTCCACTAATAGCAAAATTCAAAAGTTTATATAAAATAAAATCATATATATATAGTTTTCAATGTTTTTAAAATATGTTCGTAAATATAAATTTGAGAATTTTATATAAATTATTTAAAAATCTAAAGAAATGTTTAATTTACAAACAACTTATTGCGAAACTTGAATTATATTTTAAAGTAATTCATTCAATGCTTTTATAAACGATAAACTCATGGTAAAAGTAGCACAAACACAAGTATAATACATTCACTTACCTACGTCTTTACATATTTTTAAGCATGTTTTTTGAACTTTTTCTAGCTTAGTATGATCTTTAAACGTACATTATTATTTTAAAAAAAAAAAAAAAAAAAAAGAGGTTCTTACGTGCATAGTCGTATAAAAACAAATATTTTATAATTTACAAGTGGTTGTTAAATTAAAATCTCAAAACTTTTAGGATATTAAAATTATAACAGAAGAAAAGTTAGAAATATTTATCAAAAGTAATTAAATTAATAAAAAAAATTATATCATTATTAAAAATATTATCAATATTGTTAACTATATATTAAAATATGATTAATCCTATTGTAAATACGAATTGACGAATAGATAATATAAATAATATTTATAATGTTAATATATAATAAGAAAAATAATAAAGTAGTTGAAATTATAATGAGTAAGTATATGACTTTAGATAAATAGAAGGATGAATCTTTTTTTAAAAACTAAAATTAAATCTAACAATAAAGTTAATGAGTATGTTTGAATCCACATTATGTTATTCATTGTGATTGAAAATATTTATAAATTATTTATTAAACTACATCACATCTACAATAATATTATTTCTCTCTCATGATCTGATCAAACCCAATAAACATATATCCAATTAATAGTTGCATCTCCTAAATTACTAAATATACCTCTAAAAAGAAAATTACAAGGAAATAAATTCCTACATTATTTGACCTAAAAATACAAGGTCAAAATTAAGAAAATACTTGCAAGAAAAAATATATACAAAGGGAAGTATAGTACTAAAAGTGACACAAAACATACTTCTTCCTTCAAGCCTATTTCACTCCTCTCAGTTCCTTTTGGATTGACCCCTTACATGATGTCATCAAGTTTTTTGGGGTTTGAAGAAAAATTGATAAATTTGTAGTTGCATGTGGTGTTTTTGGTGGGCTTTGAGATATATGAAGAATGTTAAACTTGTTTCCTAAGTTTCATGAGTTTAGAAGTGTTTGATGTTTAGTTTTGAAGGGAGAAGGGAAGTTTCCACGGTGGAAATCTACCCTCTCGCCCAACAAGATGTGTAGCATGCTTGGTGTGCATGCATAGACAATGAATAGCTACACAGAATCATATTATCAGTAAGCAATAGAAGTGTTGCTCAACGCGAAAATCAATCTATGGGTGGCCTGTTGTGGAGCTCTCCCAACGAGACATAGCATGAGAGAACCCACAAGGAGTTATGCTTGCCTAGCGAGCTATGGTTGCCAAGCGCTAGGTTCTAGAGGAGTTTGGACACTCAACAAGCTAAAGCCCACTTAGTGAGGAATAGGTATAGTACCCTAAACCCTAAACTAGTTATGCCAAATATGAATGGCACAGGGGCTCTCTATCTCATCCACACCGGATGCAAGTGTATTGGTGTCAAGCATGGGAAAGCCAAAGGCTCTTTGCCTCAATGATGTCATGTGTGCAAAGAATTGTACTGTGTGTGATTCACTAAATGAAAAAACTTGTTTATATTTGAATAAATGTTGAGAATGCGTGTAGTATATTGATTACTCATATGATTTATGTTGGTTTATGATTATAGTTCATTAGGCATTGATCTAGAATGATGTATAATGATGTTTTAAGTTGTTTAAGTTGGTAGTTACATGTTGCTAGAAGTTGATTAAGTTGCAAGATGTATGTTGTTTCAAGTTGTATGTAGTAAGTTAATTAAAGTTGTTTAGTTTTATAAACATGTGGTGATGAGACACATGTTTAAGTTGAGATACATAAAAACTAGAGAAGAGTAAAGTTGCTTTAAAATAAAGTTAAAATATTTCATTGTGTGGATATAAGCTATGGTTGTTTGAGAGTTCAAAGTTGAAAACCCTTTTGGCTCTTGGATGGGAAGTTATTTTTAAGTTGTTTCCTCTAGGTTTTATGTAGAACAGTACGGGACTAGGTCAAACCATACATGTATGAAGTGACCAATTAAGTAAAGTATGAAGTCAATAGTTAAAATCCTTAACTAATTACTAGAAAAGGTGTGTAATATTTGACGGGTAGTTGGCAGACTAATTCCTTATGAAAATTAGATATGTATGCTAAGGTCATGGTAGGCTTACACCTAAGTTGTTCTATCCCTAACATTAGTACTAAACTTTTCTAGTTTAAGTAGTGAAACCTGAGAAATCAATTTAAGTTGTTTAGGTGCTCAAGGAGGCCTGAAGTTGTATCTACTTGACCTAGTTGTGATAGGCTAGCTATAATGATTTGGCAAGGTCAAGCTACTTAGACTACTTACCTTTGTTGTAGAAGATCTCCATAAGTTGATATGCAAGACAATGCATTAGTTGTTTAACATTGTTTGTGATGTTATTAAAGTTGTTTATGTTGAGAATATTTTTCATGTTGTAAGTTTTATTTGATGATTCGAAGTTATGAATGATGATAGTAAGTTGGTTTTATGCATGAGAGAACTTGATGTTGTTTAAGTGGTTTAAGTTGAACTTGATTCATGAAGTTGTTATTTTTGTATTATCGATTATGTTGATTCTTTCACAAAATTACCATTTCTTTTCTTTGTGATTGAGATGCAATGGTCATATTTTGTGTTGGAGTATAGCTTGGATTACTTGGATTGTTGGTGGATGGTCATGCTAGACAAATCAATTTTATATATACTATTTTGATGAAGTATGGTTATGTATAGATGTTGCACCGACAATAGGATTTCTTAGTACTTGTTTATTTTGATGTATATCATATATTTGTATAAGGTATATATGTAATCCCATACGGGCTTTTTGTTTTCTAGTCTTATAAGCAATAACTATTTTAGGTTTTATGCACCCTAGATATATATATTATATATATATATATATATATTTGTTATATAAATGTTCAGGTGTTGCATGAGAACTTTAGTGTAGCCAATTATTTTATATTTTTTGCTATGTAGTAACTATATTATATTAAGTGTAGTGACTTGGTAAGTCATTACAATCATTGTGTGTGTATATATATATATGTGTGTGTGTATGTGTGTGTGTCATAAGAATCCTAAAATCTATGTCAATGAGCAGAACAAATAAAAATTCAATTACAATAACATAAATTGTGTTATTGTTGTAGTAATAAGTATTGTTGTTGCCCTTAATTTAGTTCCTTTCAGCATTATTCTCAGAAAATACCAAACATGTCATAATTGATTTTAAACAATATAAATATGTGAAATTCACCAAAAATAATCATATGCAACAAAGTATTTGAAACTTAATAATTGCTTGTTTTCAACTTTATTTAAATAAACGAGGAGTAATCTTTTAACAAATTTTCCTCTCCTGGTTGTCAAAACTTTATTTATGAAATAACTTATTGAAGACAAAACTTTATTCCACAGCTTGTTCTATAAAACTTACAACCCTGACAAAATCCACTTAAAAACACAAACATATAGGGGTGTTCAAAAAAATCTAAACCAAACCAGAAAATAATCAATCCAAATTTAGAAAATTTGAACCAAAATGTTTTAAAAAAATACAGTTAACCAGTCCATTTTATATGAAATGGATAGTGTGAACTTGTTATTAACTAATCCATTTTAAACACATTACAAACTTAGTTGAAACGAGTCTATGTCACAAGTCACTCACAACTACAAGTAGTACGAGCAACATAGCAAACACGAAGTTGAAACTGAAGATGAACCCTATTTCCCAAATTTGGTAAATATCATCTTCCTAATTTCTAAATTCATCTCAATCAAACTCTAAATGTTTATTTTGTGCATTTGGGTGCTAAGGTTAGAAGTTCTTAGTCTCAAGCGCAACTCTCTATCTCTTTCTATCTTTCATTAAATGGATTCACACCTCTACTTCTCTCTACTCAATAAGAAGCACGTGTTGTTCCTATACATTTCTTTCTATAAAGCTTGAGCTTCATTTTCCATAGGTGAGTCATGTGAGTGATGCTTCACATTTCATATCAGCCTTCTTATGTTTTTGTTGCTTGCTGGTTTATAGGTTTGTGCTAACTTGTTTGCACTCTGCTGATAGGTGGGTGTGTTTGATTTATCGTTGTAGTTTAAGGACTTACTTGGTGTTTGTATCTTTCTTGATTATTACTTAGAAACAAGGTATATTCTTCCTCATTACTTAGATCTTTATAAATGTGTATTATAAACATTGAGAAATATTTTTTTTTTTTTTGAGGAGTGAATTATGTGGAGTAGTATTATGGCTTTTAGATTAAGGACCATGAGGTAGTGTGCATCATTAATTCATTAACCTTGTTCCGCCCAATGTACATGCCTATAATTTCATAT